AATTCCCAATTCTTGTCCTCTTTGTTCAATAGCATGTGAAAATAACTGAGAACACATGATAAAAAGATAAGGAGATAATGGGCATCCTTGATGAAACCCATTTTCTGCCTTAATCCAATTAGATACTTTCCCATTTAAAAGAAAAGAGAATCTAACATCCCTAACACATTCCATAATAAGCAAAGAGATCTTCAAAGGGAATCCAAACAAATTTAAGACTTGATACAAAGTCTCCCAACTCATGCTATCATAAGCTTGTTCCATGTCAAGCTTAACCGCCATCATGCCTTTTTTATTTTTTGAAATTCTGAATTTGTTGAAAATCTCATGAGCTAACAAGCAGTGGTTAGACATTGATCTTCCAGGAATGAATGCAACCTATTCTTCATAAATAATTTTAGTGATACATCCTTTTAATCTATTCATGATCAAAGTTGCCACAAACTTATAAGTAGTTTGACACAAACTTATAGGCCTATAATTAGATGGAACAGTTAGATTTCTCATTTTAGGAACTAATACAATCAATGTATCTTTCCATTCAACATGCATAAAACCAGTTTTGAAAAAACTGTTTATTGCTTTCAGTGTTTCACCTTCCACTATCTTCCAATAGAATTTAAAAAAAGATGTAGTAATACCATCTAGGCCGGGAGATTTATTGTTACCTTGTTGAAAAAAAGCATTTATTAGCTCCTCTTTAGTAAATTCAGTACTCATAATATCAGCATCAGCTTGAGAAATTTTCAAGTTTTTCAGAATTGAGGGCCAACCCGTCAGCTTGCACTTTATATCTTTCCATTTTTTCACAAAAAAATTCATGAAAAACTACTTCAATGTGTTCAAAGTCATCCAAAAGATTATTATTATCATCTTTGATTTGTCTTATAAGATTGCCATTTTTCTTTGCAGAAGCAAAGTTATGAAAAAATTTGTAATTAACATCACCTTCCTCGTGCCATCTAGCTTTAGCTCTTTGGTTCCACCAAATAGATAATCTCCCCAACGTGAAATTCATGCACTTTACTTCTAAGCAGTTTCAGTTTCTCCACTGTAAGCCCAACTTCAGTGGATTCCTCTAACTGAAGATCCAATATTTCCTTCTTTAGATCATTCTTCAGTGAATTCAGCTCTCTACATTTGTTCTTATTCTAGAAGTATAAAGATTTCAATGTTCTTCTTAGCTTCCTCTATAAGACTTCAGCATGGTTACCAAAGTCTATTCTTCTCCAAGACTTAAAGATGATATTCCAAGCTGCAGGATAAGACTTCCAAGTATCTTCAAATCTAATAAATTTTGATTGTTTATTTTGAGGCTCAACCACATTGAAGGAAATAGGACTATGGTCTACCCTTGGCAAATGTCGAACCTTTGCCATAGGAGTCCTTTGCAATGTTACAGAATTCAATAGGCATCTATCCAACCTCAACCATATCCAAGATGCAACTTTTTTGTTGTTGCACCAAGTGAAACATGGCCCAACAAAACCAATATCGTGGAAATCATTGTTTGTCATAAAAACCTTCATCTCCTTAGGTCCCTTAGAAAATTGGAACCTCCCCCCCCCTCCCCTCTCTTTTCATCCTTAGATAAAATACAATTAAAATCACCTCCAATAATAGAAGGTGTATCACATGGAAAACATTTTTCAAGAGTTTCCAACATACTTCTTCTAATATGTAAATCCTTACCTCCATAGACTGTTGCCACATTCCAAGTGCCCAATAAAGTATTGTTAAGAACACCCATAACTACTTGAGAAAAATGTTCAGTTACTTCAAAGGATACAACATTCTTATTCCAAAGAACCAGGATTCCACCCGAGGTTCCCTCAGCAGGATGATGAAAAAACTCCCAATCACTTCCAATAAGGAAATTAACATCTCTTCTATCCATGCTAGACATCTTAGTCTCTAATAGACCAATAAAAAACCCTACATTATCCTTCACAATCTCTCTAAGATATAGAGAGGCCTCCCTCTTTCTGCCCCCCCTACAATTCCAGAAAATAAATGAAGACATTAAATAACAATAGGGGAAGAATCCCCAACTGTCTTGTTACACTTACTTTCCCCTCTTCTCTTCCAATGAGCAGCTTCAACTGGGCCCAATGACTTCAATTCCTTTTTCCAATTTGTTTTTACTTGAAGTTGTCATAGAATACTCAACATATACTTGATTTCCTTTGTCAGGTAACCTTTCAGAAAAAACTGATTGAATTTTCTCTAAAACCACTGTATTTTCATTAGAGTCTTCAATATGATCATCAATATTGTTTTTATCTTCTGCTTCAACAACTTCAAATACTTCTCCATCCTTGTGATCTTCCTCCAAAATCTGAAATTTATTATTAACACAAATATCAGTAGGAGTTTTTTGTTCATAGACCTGCTCTGTAATACCAACTTCCTCATAGTGAGGCTATTTTCTAGAGATTTCCTACAGCTTCTCTTAACTTTCTGATTCAATTCGAATTTCCTGCATGCTCTCATTCTGATTCCGAACCAAAGTACCAACTGGTTCATATTCCTGCTTATGCCGCACCATTAATCCTGCATTCTTCTTAAAATTTATGAATCTTTTATTTCTGAATTTCACATGAATCCAGGGGTCATATTCATCATCCTCTTGGTGCTTTGAACCATCTTCAACAGGAATATTATCATCCGTCTTCACTTCACTTGTTCCAGCAGCAATCCTCTCCTTAAAATGCATAGATTTGATTTCAGGACAGAAAGATTTACTATGCCCAACTCTCCCATAATGGTAGCAAAGAGAAGTCATCTTCTCATATTCAACTCTTTGATATGTTCTTCCTTGGAGTCCTTCAATCCAAACTCCCTTAGGTAATTTATTTTCAAGGTTAATACGGACACAACAATATGCATATTCTCTTTTCCCCCATTTAAAGGAGTTCCCATCAATGAACATTGGAATTCCAATCATAGAAGCAATTCTAGAGATATTTTCCTTATCCCAATAACTCAATGGTAAAAAAGGAAATCGAATCCAAACTGGAGAAGTGATACCTTTTAATGATTCCGGGGAAAAAGTGGTGGACCATTTATCCATGATAATAATGTGATTAACAATATGTCAAGGTCTACCACTTAGAACTTCCTCCATTGATTCACTTTTTTTTGAAAGAACAAAGAATCCAATTATGTCCAAGAATTGTTAGATGAAAGTTACCAAACCTACTCCATTGCCTTCGGAGTTCCTGGCTACAAATAGAAAAGGGATATCATTCCCATGACTTTGATCACAAGAGAATTCTTCAAGATTTGAGAATTGGCCAATTTCAAATCAGAGTTTAGCTTAACAACAACTCTATCCTCAGTCATTTGAATATATTCCATGTTGTAATTTAGCTTAATATGCTGAGTCTTCTTCCATGCCGAGATAAAATTATCTTTAGGAGCATGATCTTCATTCTTCTCAATAGCTATCTCATTAACGTCAACGTCATTTTCAAAATTAACTGAAAAATTCTTGCTATCCTGATTTTGATCATCATCTTCTTGAATTCCCACAAATTTGTTAACATTCAGCACCAATCCTGAAGAGGAGGACGTATCTTTGACCAAACTCACAAGAGAGTCAGGTTTTGACTTAGTAAAGCTTGCTGATTCTTGTTGAACCTTTATTAAACCGTTTCCTTTGCCTTCAATAACCGATTCTTGCCGCAATGGTGGCCTGAAACCTTCTCTAATCACCATATTTGTGTGAGGTCTTACGGAACTCTAATCAACAGAATCAATTCTGATATTGTCATTCTTTTGAACGAAGGGTTTGACGGGCGAGCTTGAAATGGAAGAGGAATGTTGATTACTGCCGGCAAGAAGTTGCCAGCGGTCAAGTATGACCATCTTCAACAATCGCGGAAAGACCGCGAATCAGAAATTCAAAATCAATGATGAACTTTCTCTATCTAGAAAACAACAGCTTCTCTCTCTAGCAAATCACACCTTCAATGCACATTATTGTTCATAACCAACCCTAATTTATACCACTCAAACAAAAAAAAAAACATCATAATTGCCACTGCGTTCTCTCTCCGTTATTCCTTCCCCACTGAAGCATGGAATTGAGGATGTTCTCCTGCAAGAAGTTGTCGTTGCACTAGTCTCCTTAACCTTGGTTTGCTTTCCATTGCTGATATACATTGAGAAGTGTTAGGTGATCCGATTCAGAACCATAACACTTTTCTCTTGATGCATGTTCGTGCGATTGCCACTTCCCCCTGTTCCAAATCCTAGTCAATCGTCTTCGTTGATGCAAAGCCACCATAACCGGAAAGGCTATGCATCTAAGCCAATGACGCCTCCAGGGACATGTACTTGGAAAGTTGTCGAGGAGATGATAGGTCACAAGAATGTTGGGTTTCAGGATGGGGTGGCGCTTGCGGCATAGCAGTTGGAGGAGAACATCTTCATTGGATACCAGGTCTTTCTTCCACGACTCCAATCTCTCCTCCATCTTCATCCATCAATTTCGTTGGCACTTGCTGCTGGAAGTTAAAGACGTAGCGCGTGAAGAGGGATTTCGGCAGGAAGAAGATGCCGTGAGCTGTACGAGAGACGGAGTGATATATTTGAGGTAAACTATTAATTGAATGGTATAACTACAATATTAATATATTTGAGGTATTAGATATGTAAAATAAGAAGAATATAATGGTATGCATCTAAATCCCCCTTATTTAAATCTATTAGATAAATTAGCGCCCACTTTTGCTTGGACAATGTTGTTTGGTCCTCCCCTGAATTATTGCATCCGGTCACCGGACGCGGAGAATAGGTTCGAACATCCAATAAAAATTTGCCACATCACCTACGCTTTTGACTGCGCTTTTGACTTGCGCTTTTTAGTTGCGCTTTGACTGCGCTTTGACACGCGCTTTACTTGCGCTTTACGTGCACTTTACCTACACTTTTGACGCTCTTAATTTAAAATACTATTTTATTAATATCAGGACCTATCATACCTGATGCAATAATTTGCCCCGCCGAAGTGATACCAAACTAAACGCTACTGTAGCCAGGTATCTCCAGCAAGAGACTGGCCAACAAGTTTTTCGCAGCAAGGTTTCGGGGAATTTATTCAGAATCGAATCTGGAGATTTCTTTTACTGTGGAAATCTTTTCGGAATCGGTTCGAAAAAATGGCTTCTACATCAAACAAGCTTGAAGATATTGTGGTTTTAGAGCTGGTGGATCCCTCTGTAGTCACAGAGAAGCTATCTGAGGAGGAGATAACGATCTCTACCTCGAGTATTCACAACTGGGACATTCCTTCGATTGTTTGCCACAGGATCGTCAAGGTCCAGGCTGATAGAAGCAGGCAATCTTTTTCTTTTTTCATCGAAAAAGTATTCCTCGAAAATCTCTTTTTTATTTGTTTATATTCGTAATTTTTGATAATCGGAACCTATCTTTCAGGCTTTCAGAGAAGTCTTGTTACTTTCATAGTCTTCTAAGTGGAAACTTCAGGTACGTTCCACTCAAATGCAAGAAATTCGATTACTTTCTTGATGAAGAGAGGATAAATCCAAATATTTAACATAAATTGTCTAGTCAATTAAATTATTGGCTAAATTTTTAAAATGAACTAAGTCGCCGGAGATGTGGCTTCCCCTCAAGATTGTCCATCATTGATTTGGGAGAAATCGTCTGAACATTGGGTGATTTTGCCAACGTCAATTCCATCATTGGGCTGCTTTTAAGTTGCTTATATTAAGGTGTTTTTCAACTAAACTTGTTCATTTATTTATTTAATGTTCTCGATGGAAGACTGTAAATGGCTCGTTGGTTCAAATGTTCCGGTGACTAAATTCATTGATATAACTGAATGTAACTTTTTCTAAAATTATAAAACATTTGATGGCAATATTTTGTACTTTATCAAGTATACATGGAATAAATTATACGAATTTAGCTGGATTTTCGTTCAAATAAAAATGTTTTTGAAAGGAAAAAGGAAAAATAAGAAAAAAAACCTCAACTTACCCCTGCCTAAATATAGTCTGGATGTAAGTTACGCACGATTAAATTGTAAGCCATTTTTTTTTGTTTTAAGTTATTTTTTTTTTAGTTTATATAAAATTATTTTCTTATAAGTGCATCGATTATTTTCCTGAAAATAAAAGGGTTCTTCTGCATTTCACTAGTAATTTCCTACTGCCATGAAAGTGCCAAATTTCCTAAGCCGAATCTAACTTTGGATATCCTCATCCTTTTTTTTAATTCAATTAAATTAGCATCTGTATTTTTTGTTATAAATCAATCTTATTAGAACCACAGAATATAATATAATTATATGTCTAAAATAGTTTGTACTTGTCAATGAGGTGTAAGCATTTGATTGGTTTCTTGTTTCTTGTATCGTACCTATCTGTGTCTTTTTAAGAGTGTTATGTCACAGTGTAATACACATTGGAAATTAATCTCATTCCATTACTCTCTTCCACTTTGTATGTTCTCTCTTCCTTAGCCATTGGTTTCTTCATGGTATCAGAAGTAGGTCTTTGATCCTATCAATGGCTCACTCCGCAAATTCTCATATCGAAGACAGCAGAGCTTCGCCGATCACCGAGGCTCAAGATCCGGTTATCTCTCCCGCCTTGAAGTTTCTTGTCTCCAATCTCAAAAACGTTGTCTCGATCCAACTCGCTCCCAACAACTACTCCATATGGAAGTCGCAGGTCCTCAAGATTATGCGTGCCAACGGTTTTCAAAATTTTCTTGATCCTACCTGTTCTTCCCGTGCTCCTTTTTTAACGAATCAAGATGGTTCGTCTTCTCCAAATCCCCTCTTCTCTCAATGGCTTATGACAGATCAAAACATCTCATCCTCTATCTACTATGCTATTTCTCCAACTGTTCTACCCTATGTCATCTCCCTGGACACCACTGCAGCCATTTGGCTGACCTTAGAAAATCACTTCCAATCCACCAATAGGTCCAAGTTCATCTAGCTAAAGAATGAGCTCCACAATATTTCTCTCAAGAACTCATCCATGACCCAATATCTCATCGAAATCAAGACTTTGGTAGATCAAATAGCCGCTGCCGGTTCCGCGGTGGATACGGAAGACATAATCCTCTACACCCTCAATGAACTCCCTCCCCCATATCAGTCGTTCAAAACTGCTATCAGAACCATGTTAACCCCTATAAATCTCGATCAACTATATCCTCTTCTTCTAAGCGAAGAAGTCAATCTCGCAACGGAGGCAGCTCGATCCAATGTTAATCCTGATCCGAACACGACTCTATTCCACTATCGCGAGCGAGGCAGAAGGTCTCGCGGACGAAACATATCCAACAACAACAGTTCCGATCGGTCCCCAGCGAGTGCCAGTCTCATCTGCCAAATTTGCCTAAAGAAGGGGCACTCAACTCAGTCAGGTTGGCACAAACTCAATGTGCAATATGTTCCTTCTTCAAGAAACTCGAGCAAAGCTCTCATTGCCAATTTCGATAACATTGAAGCGAACTAGTTCTTGGACTCGAGTGCCTCCACGCACCTCACAAACTCCTTGGACAACCTGTCAGTATCCACACCCTATCAAGGAACGGATAACATCACAATTGGCGATGATAGCTCGATCAACATCTCCCATACTGGGCGGGAATCCTCCTGACCCCGTCTCATAAGCTAAATTTATCAAATATTCTTCACTCTCCGTCTATTCATTATAATTTATTGTCTATATCTCAGCTCACTAAGGATAATAATATATCAATTATATTTGATCCATCCAGTTTTACCTTGAAGGACATGACGACGCACAAAGTCATTCTTCGCGGACCATGTAACGACGGGTTATACACTATTCTGATTGAATCATCTACTAAGAACAAAGCGCTCGCCATCACCACCTCGTCGACATTTTCTTGGCATCATCGTCTCGGCCACCCACACAAATGAATTTATGATCTTCTTTCTCGTTGTAATCCTGATCTTAAACTAGGCAAACATGTTTTTTCTTGCAATTCTTGTGACAAGATAACTTTTATTAATATCATAATAAAGGATATTACATCGAGTATGATTGATATCAATAAACACATTTTTCAAAACACTAAATAAAAATTAACAACACAAAACATCATATAACATGAGAAAAATATAAAAACATAATATCTAACAATCACACCACATCACATCTTGTACAGAGAATCAAACAGAAATACAATCATCACTCTGAAGGACCCTGATTTGGAGGAGGATGAGGAGGGCTGAAGAAGTTGAAATAGTTATTCATAATAGCCATATTCATGTTAACTGAATCAAATTGACCTCTAACCCAATCCATATCCTGCTGATGTTGATAATTCTGCAGTTGATGATGAGTTTCAATTTGATCAAAACGTTAATCAAAATGACTCTCAAGCCGATCAAATCGCTGGACCATATCCTAAAAATTTAGAGTACCAGATGGTTTAGGTGGAGGTCCTCTTCTTTCCTCCACTGAGTCACTACTTATTACGTGTGGATCTTTATTAAAGATTGCTCGGAAAGATCCATCATTGTAGTAGATCGACTCTTCTAAATTTTGAACTGGATGGACTAGATCATATTTCTTCTCTAAAAAGTAGGTCACAAGATGTCCTAAGGCTATATTTTTCTTCCTCTTGTGGGAGACATGGCCAATCTTAGAAAGTCCATAAAAGTACTCAATGATCAGTTGGGCTTTATCTATTGGTTGGCTTGCCATAATCAAATAAGTCACTGTAGAAAGAAGAGGTGTGATATTTACTCTATCACCAGCTTTAGGAATAATGGAAGTGCGAAGAATATGTTGGATGATACGGGCATTGTGGTTAAGAGAGGCTACCTTAGGAAAATGGCTTGCTTCACTGCATCCTCTAATGACTTGATTTATTACAGTCCAGTCAAAGTTGGAGGAGGTCAAAGTGTGGGCTCTAATCCCTTGAGTCCTTAAGTTCAAAAATATTCCTAAGTCTTTTTTAGTGATCTCCACTTTCTTCTTAAAAACATACGATCTAATCACAGTTTGGTCAGAGTTGAAGGACATATTGGCAAGGAAGTAGTGGAAAGTCTCCTTGTTGTAGAGATGGATCAGAGTGAGAATAAGACCAAACTGAGTGGAAGCAAAAATGTGCATTACCTTGAAAGTAAGTTATTTTTGGAGGACTCTAGAGAGAGTGATTTTGGCGGATGCGAATCTAGGGAAGGACTCCTCATTTACTTTGTACAGAAAGTTTTATGTTGAGTTTCTAGGGGTCCCTTAGCAAGAACCTTTTGCCTTTCTCTTTTGCTTGAACTAGCCATGAGAAGATCTAGGAGAATCAAAGATTGAAAGTGATTTTTGAGGGGATGAAATTTGAGTTCAAAACCTTCAAATTTAAAGAGAAAACAATTGTTTCGTACGAACGAAAAACTTTCGTCCCGTACGATTTTGGGTTCGTACATACGAAAAATATTTCGTATGGATGAATGTATGAGTCTAAAAAGAAACGGCCTTTCGTAAACATGCAAGTTACGAGGCGTCATTTCGTACAGACTTTAACCAAACAATCGTACAGACGAACAGGTGTTCGTCCGGGACGATCAGTTATTTAAGATCATTTTTATGACGGTTTGAAACGTCCCCTACATTGAATCGCCACATGTTCGTATGTACGAACTGAATGTTCGTACGTACGATTAGAAATAAAGAAACTAATCTTATCTGTATAATCGTTTACATACGTACATACGATTAAATATACATCGGCCGGACGATCGTGATGATCATAAAGACGAATAGTGATACGAAAAACTGAAAAATTGCATGCAAACCGTTCAAATGGACAGTTAATACGCTACACGCTTCGTCCCGTACGGAATTAATTTTGTACAGACGATATACACTCAAATTTCCAAGTCAACATTCAAAATCATGAATCTAGATGTGAGAGAACACAAAACAAAACATACAGAAGTTTGCAAAATCAAATATGAACTAAACAATAAAAAATATATATATAAAGAAAATCACAAAATCAAAAGACACACAACACACTAACAAAAACACACATCATTGTTGCAGAATCATTTTATTAAGCATTCAAATCATTCACACCAACCCTTATTCTTAATGTACTGAAAGTATCAAAGGCTAGTGGTTTTGTAAAAATGTCTGCAAGTTGATTTTCTGTTGTAACATGAATAAGTTAAATTTCTCCTTTGGATACATGATCCCTTATGAAATGATGCCTGATGTCTATGTGTTTGGTTCTTAAATGTTGAATAGAATTTTTAGAAATGCAAATAGCATTAGTGTTATCACAATAAATGAGAATAGTGTTTATTGTTAATCTTAAATCAATCAACAGTTGTTTCAACCAAAGTACTTGTGCCACACAACTTCCTAATGCAATGTATTGAGCTTCAGTAGTAGATAGGGTTACTGAATTTTATTTTCTGTTGGACCAAGAGACTAAAGAATTTCCAATGAATTGACATGTTCTAGAAATACTCT